AGTTTCAAGTGCCCGCCATTAAAAAAAAAAAAAAAACATTTGCAATGAAATCAAAAGTTAGCCGTTACAATGATTGTTAAGAAAAAAATAAACTATTTATATTAGCTTTAAATAAAATGTAATAAAAATTTAAAAAATTATTTCACTTTAATTAAAATTCGATTAAAAATAATTAAACAAATAAATTTGAAAAATCAAAGAAATTTTTAAAGCTAGAAAATATTTAATGGCTATTGTGGCATCGCAGTAACAGATTTTTTTTACAGTGTGAGATTATTAATAAATTTTTATGGCATTCTTGTGTATTCATGGTAAAATGATCTCACGTTACTAAGTCTCGTTTTCGTTTGAAAAAAATAGGTCATTTCATCGAGCATCGACTGTATATTAAAGCAGGTGTTTTCACAAAAAAAGGTTATTAAATTGAAAAAGCATTTTCTAGAAACTGGCACGTTATCCAGTGGTGTACCGAGCTAGTGGCAGGGCTGCCTCTCGCCAGGGACGCAAGATCGTGTCGGAGAGCGAATATTGCTTGAGCAATATAGTAGAAATTTTAAACTTGTCGGGGATAAAAAGAAAAATCGGCTGTTAAAGAATTTAATAATCTTCAATATTTTGCATCCAAGCATTTTCCTTGCTTTCTTTTTCAACAGTTACTCTTGAAAAATATTCCCTACGCAGAGTACAAAAGTCATGACGTCCCCTTTCCCCTACTTCCCCAACTCATCTTTGCATTTACCAATTTCTAAGACTGTTTATCCCCCCCCCCTTGGTGATTTATTACATCTTCTCAAGGATATTATTTTGTCTTATTGCAGGAAGCTTAGCAACCCTAAGACCTCTTTCCCCTGTTTCTTGTTCCAAGAAAAAATTATTCCTTTAGTTTCAGAACAATCTACGACCTAAACGGCATAACAACTCTTCATCGCGATGCACTAAACTCTTTTCTAAGTTGACATAGTTTTTAAAGTGGTCAATAGTCAACTTTGCTCATTTGTTTTATTTGTGTTTTTTGCGTTTTCAACGTGAAGTAACTCATCAAGACTCATTTATTAAAAGGTAAGCAATGTTATAAAATATATTGTTACAATAGATATAAAATATATTACCATCTTCGATTGAATAATTTATTATTTAATTTAGTAATGATGGATGATTAAAACTGTTTGAATTATAAGGTATAAAAAAGTTTATATTATGTAAAAAAAAAATCAAAGTTTCAACGAAAGCGAATAAAACCTTCCGAGAAATAAAAATTTAAAAATACAACTTAATTTTTTATTTTTCGTGAACGATTCAACAGGTTTGATTAGGATCACATTTTCTCCATTGCCATTTAAAATAGCGCAAAGTGTCTTGGAAATTAAGACATCACTCAAAGCTTCTTCGAACATTAATAGATTAAATAATTAAAATTACAATTATTAAATACTTTTGAGTACAAGATTCTTTTTAGATAATGATTAATAAGCTATATTAAGAAACTTTTAAGTCACACAATTAATTTAAGCTAATTAATGTGTGCCAAAAATAATTTTGGTTGTAGAAACAGACGCATAAACGTACTTCCTCTGAATAAACTTTGCTTTTTTGGTATAGATTTTTAATCTTAACCCCTAAATTATGGTGAACGCCGCTATCTTTAAGATATGGCCCTTTAGTTAAATCGAAAAAGTGGCCAAAATTTTCAACTCTTTAATGTTAATTTCGATTTCTGCTACTTCAGCTTATCTCTGCAAATATTTAAGCAAATGAAACAATTTTTGCTTATAATTATGAGACACAATTATTCAAAAATAATTCAATGTAAAAATTACATTTTTAGTGCTATTAAATTTAAGGAGAGTATATAAATTCCAAATGTCACTTTTTAAAATTAGAATAAAATAGTAGTTTATGAGTAAAGAAGTTTTGAAAAAGTTGCATTTTTAAGTTTTCATTTCTCTGATTCCGTTCAGATTTTAAATCTGCATTTTAAAGTTGTATTTATAAAAATGACAAAAAAATTTGAATGACTTAAAATGATAAATTTTTTTATCATTCTTAAATTTATAATTTAAAAATAATAATTAAAAAAAATTTTTTTTGCTTGAAATTATAATTTGAAGGCGAAATTTGCAAACGAGAAATTAATTTTAAGGGCAACATTAAGCTCAACCACGCACCAGATTAAACTAGTGGGATTATATTTTCCACATTGAGGTTAGCCTCATATTTTTTTGAAGTCAAGGAAAGAGAGTGGTTCGAAAAAATATAATGACTTCATAAGAGGAAATACGTTTCTGTGCCCGATTTTGTAACCTAAAATATTTTCCGTAGTTTTGTTTTATATCCATGATTGAACAGCCGACACAATTTTGAGTTTACGACTACCAATGTTCAACTCCGTAGAATAGTAATTTTGAACCCAATCCATAGGACTCCAGGATCAAGTATTTGGAGAATTTTTGCTTTTGTGGAGGACTTTGTTGATGGAACTAATTCTCATTTGCGTTGCATGTAGCGGAAAACTACGAAAACGTCCCCCGGTTAGCCTGAATACAAGGGGACTCTAATTCATAATCTGTCCACCTCTTGAGGATATTTTGCGTTCGCACTGTGGTCAGTGCGAGCTGGGTGTGGAATTCGTATCGACCTGCCTCCTCTGGTATTCAAATCTGGGTCTACCTCATTGGGAGGGGGGCGCTCTATTCCCTGAGACACCACAACTTGCACTTATTAGTTACCATGTTTAAAGTTATATTCTGAAACAATTAAGATTGAATCGAAACACCTGACAGTTTTTAAATTGTTCCTTTTTCATTTCGCGAATTTAAAATAATCAAAACCAGTTTATTTGATTTTAAAAAAATTAAATAGTGGCGTAGGTAATTGTTTGAGTCATTTCGAGTTTTATCAGTCAAATAAACTAGGTTTAATTATCGTAATGGCACCTATGCTAGGATGGTTCTCGATACTGATTCGTTTGATGGAGGTAATAAATACTTCCTTTCTCACTTAAATGTTAATTTGAAACTAAATACATTGGTTTTAATAGTGACCACTTACGTGAGGATAATACTAAAAATATATAAATGGCGGCAATAGCGTATATTTTGCATTAGGTATATTTAACTGAAATCTATGTGTTTTAAAATTAATTTGCTAGCTTTTTTCATTAATTAGCGTTTTAATAACTTATAATTAATAGTAAAATTATTGCTTTTTGTAACTTTTTCCACGTGATTAATAGAAATTGTCCTAAATAGTAAGTTTCATTACGGCTGCACAAAGAAAATTAAAGAGCAAAGAAATTTGTACTATGCCAAGGGTGCAAAATTTTTCTAGTTACACCACAAACGTCATCAATATAATGTAGCAATAATGGTGTTTCAGTTTCTATTAAATATATGTTGGCTAGCTTTAATAAGCTGACTCCCAATTTCCTGAAGGATCGAACTCCTTCGTATGAAACTGCTTCAATCGAATTAACAAGGCAGCAGAACAATTCTAAATTATCAATATCAAAATAATCAAAGTAACAAAACCTACCGCTGATTATAGCTGGAAGCAAACAATACTATCACAAAATAATTTCGGCTGCTATTTTCTACCTTCAAGTTACAAATATGAAATCTCCACAATTCAGCTGATTAATTGTTATGATGTTTACGACCAATCGATAATTTGCTAGATGGAAATTAATTTCAGAGCAGAATTTTCTGAAACGTAATTGTTCGGCAACTATAGAGACTTTTTTACAATTCCAGTCCCCAACACTCATTACTAAAATTTTTATGTGCGTAAATCTCAGAAAATACGAAAATTTAAAAAATGCTTTATTAAATTTAAAATCCATGCAGAATCGTTAAATTTATGTTTAAAAAATACTCTTTTTCCTAATTTAATTATATTTTGAACATTTTTACATAGTATAAAAGTGATGAAGGTGTTACCAGTTTCTATTTAATCAACTGTGTTTAAAAAGTTTCATCAAAAAAATTTTATGATATACGCTATGAAAAAGTCTGAAAAAAATTAAGATAACAAACCGTTATGGTATTAACACCTGCGATCAACATTTGTAAAATCAATTTTACTGTTTAGTCCACTTTTACAGCAAAATTTTATGCCCTAATTTTTACAGTAATATATATATATTTACATAAATTCAGTAATTTTACAGTAATCTTGTAAAAATTACGGTGTATCAGCTTTTTTATTTCATAACATGTTCCGATAAAATGTCGGCACTTTCTTGTCTGGCAGGCACGTTTTTGCCGGCATAAAATGGCAGCACTTTTTTTACAGTAACTTTATTCAGAATATTTTACTGTGCACCTGTAGCCAATGCGAAATGCCATGTAACTTTTGTAACCGTTATCAAATACTATACTGTGAATTAATATGAATCTCTGTAATTTTATTTTGTTTTTAATTTGATCAAAAAATAACACAATATTATTTTAATTAATTTGTGTATTTCGAATGCCTTTTGAAATAGAGTAAACTCGTTTAAAAATATTTTTTTTAAATTATTGTCTTCGTTACACTCAGAAATAATTAAAAAATGTAAATATAAATAATCTTGTGAAAATATTACAAGAGTATTGACAAGTCATGTGAAACGTGATGTAACTTTGAAACATTTGTCAAAAAAATGCTGTTATTAAATTCTACATAAATTAAACATTCCATTAATCCCTACAAATAATTTCAAATACTTTATTTGAGCAAAAAGAAAATCTTATTATTGGTCCAAATAATTTAAATATGCCACAAGCTTTTTAAGATAAAGTAAACATGCGTAAAAACATGTTTACTCAGAAAATGGACTTTTTGCTCGGATCAGTGATAATTTAAAAAAGTAAATAAAAATAATCTTTTATTGCGATAATTTTAAAGCATTAAATTACTAGACAACATAAAAAAGGTCTTGTGATTTTGTGTTCTCTAACACAGGTGCTACTTTCCAAAGGTCGATTGTTTACGCGATTACAACAGGTATTTAAACAGAAACTTTTCAAAATTAGCATATAGTATAATTTCATCTAGAAATTAATTGTTCACAATGCAAATCTTTTACTTCCTGGTCATTTTGACCACTTCTTTTGCTCTACCGTTTTCAGGAGAACTTAACGATGATTCAATTGAAATCTCTGAAAGTGAGAGGAAAGGTAAGTTTTTTTTAATTATTATAAAAAAATTTCTTAAGCACTTAAAAAAAAATAATGCATATTATTGAAAATCTCATGCACGTATCGATTTGCACAAAATACTGTACAAGGATCCTATGAGATAGCAGAAGAATGTAATCAACAAACAAGTTTTTTGCTAATTTTAAGTTTATAGCCTCACTTAAGTTTGGGGTTCATTTAAGTTTATGCTGCGGGTCAAACTTGCGGACAATTTTGCTCCCAGTAAGAATTTTGAAGGAAGAAATAACAATCTGAAGGAGAATATAATGGACTCGTTAGAGGAAGAAAATGGAACTAGTTATAGAACATTTATCCAAATGTATTTTTTTTATTTTGGATAGTTTATATTGTTTATATAGCTAAAATTAAAACTAGTTTAATATTATAGAAGCAAACTTTTAATTTGAATGAGTAGAAAGCTATTGAATCCGATGTAAAGATTAAAACTTATTCTTCATTCAGCTCTATCTGAAAGAACAATAATTATGATTATAGACTTACATTGAAATAGCTATAAAAAAGAACTTTTTTATCCATACAACGAAACAGAGGGAATGGAAGGAAATGTTTGCTGAATAAGAGTTTTTAATTTTAATGAGTTGTTATTCCTGACATAGAAATTTTTGCGTACGTAATAATTTAAAATAATTAAGTTTCACAAATTCAGAACTTGAAATAATTCCATATCTATTATACCCAATCAATAGATTAAAAGCTAGTATGTGTATCATATTTAATCGATAGAGTAAAAGCCATCATATGTGTCAAAAGCTATTCAAGAGGTTGTACCTTAGAGGTGGAATATAACAAGAGCGCACGGATCAGGGTAAATTTTGTCTTCAGATTGACATCACGTGACTGGAGGGCAGATTGAGAGGGAAATAATTATACATTCCGTTTCTCCTTGTTATTTCAATGGAAGAAAAACGATGCTGTAATTTAGTCAAAAATCCTAATAGCTTTTTACTGTACAGCATTCAGCTGTACAAAAAATATTTAAGAGGATATTCATGATAAGTTATCTTTTTTTTTGGAATTATAATAATAACATAACCTATTAATGAACTTCTAGCATTTTCTTATTTTTCCTTAAAACATCGAATGAATTCCGATGATTTTCATTCCGAAGTCTAATTTTATGCTTTCAAAACTATCTTTTAAGTAAATATAACAAGAAGAACACAACTTAACTATACAGTAATTATTATATGAAATTATTCTTCATTAATATGTCTTTTTCAAAAAAATCATGCTAAAATAAAGTACACAAACTTTTGGTGGCATTGTTACTTCTTTAGTTCCTTATTTACTTTCTTTTTGTTTGTCTAGAATTATTTTTGAAGAATAAATTCTTCAATATTTCTTTTTCAATTTCCACAGCTTGTTTTGAATTAATATAGTTAATAAAATACATTTGCCTAGAGAGAAGAGGGGTTATGAAATACAAAATTAAGACAAAGCTTTTTAACTTTTAATTATAAGTTCTTATATGAAATTGTCAATTTTTTTTTAATTGAAATCGTCTGCTCTTTTTTGATTGCAATAATTTCATGAAAAAATTATGAATAATAGCAGCGTTATTAAACTTTTGCTTACGGAGCTCAGTATGATGAAGCAATTCTGATCCACTTATTGTTCCTGCCGTAAGCGAAGGGGATAATGTTGGCTATCCTTATCATCACAGTTGTAAAAGTTAAATAAAATAAAAAAAATTTAAAAGATGGAAACAGATTTATTTCTTTAAAGTTTTTTCAAGAGTATGCAGATTTTTTTAATTTCCAATTTTTTTTCGACACCTTGACATGTTTAAAATCATTTCTAGTAAATATTTTCAAAAATTCTAATATTTAAAAAGATATATATTGTTTGGCAATCTGGAGAACGGTTGTAAAATTCATGTCAGAGAAAATTTAAATGAGTTTTTTTTTAACATTAATATTGGTAAGCCAATTAAAAATATATCATGCAGGTCTGTTGCAAAATAACGTGAGATATTTCTGAAAACTAATGAATCAACTAATGAAAAAATAAGTGTAATCAAAAGATACACTTTTATTCTTTTTAAACTATTACAAAAACTCATTTTCCCATATATTTTATTTTTGAATGCAAACAATACAGTTTATACACATCAAAAAACTGGAATTGTAAAATAATTGCTAATCTAGAAAAGTGTTGAAAAATTATCCAGTATTTTACTGTTTTGATTATCATAACACTTCTGAATTTAACTTTCCTACATTGCCTTTTTAAATACAAAACACGAGTCTACCAGGAAAGCAAACTTGTCTCAAAAGTGTCACATGGTGCCCTTTTTTCCGCCAACATCGCCAAAAAAGAGAAGCCCGTAATATAGGGAAGTCTGATGGATGGACGAAGAGAGGTGGGGAAATATAACAGCAAGCTTGATCTATTTTTACTTCAGCTTTTTGTGTTATACTAGATAGTTTGAGCTCCGTACTTGTTTCTCAAATATTAATAAATTAATTTGTCTGTAGAAGTTCAATTATAATCAGTTGTCATAGGTACAAAACAACCAAGCATGTAACTAGTTAGCATAATTAGTATAATTACATAGCTACAAGCAGTTACAAACGGTTAGCATAAAATCTACCTGTTTTTTTCTGTTTTTTCGAAGTTATGCATTGAAAATTATGAAAATAATTCTTAATAAAAAATTTTAATTTATGTTTTTCAGAAACAATTGCAGCCATGAGAAATCCAGATTTATTTGATGGAGATATGCTTGGAGTTAACGAAATGTTCGTAAGTAGATTTTGATAGAGGTATTTCAAATCTTTTTACATTTTCAAATGAAACAAAATTTCTTTCATCAATTCAGAGCAAAAAATTTCAAAAAAATTGAAAATTTTGCTGAAAAATTATGATTAAAAAGAAAATTGTACTATTAACTGAAATTATGGATGTCTTAAAAAACTCTCGACCCAACTGTTTTTTTTTCTTGTTTCCTTTGAGAAAAAAACAAATTTCTTCAAGCAGAAAGCTTCAAATATTTAAAATTTGATCTTATTATGAAATGAGAATAAAAAGTAGTTTCTATACAAACTTGTTCAAACTTTTAAATACTCGATTAATTCATAAAGTTTATGCCTCAGTTTTCAGAGCTATAGTGATAAAAAACTAAGCATTCTTACCTGATTGAATAACTGTTTTTACTTAAAAGTACAATACCTAAAGCTGAGTTATTAAAATTGAAAGTTACCGAAAATGGTATAAAAATATGTATTGAATTTAAATTTGAGAAAATGTTATCAATGTTATATACGAAAAGATCTGCGAAAAAAAGTAGGAAGAATGGCAAGTGAGATTAAGCCGGAAGCAGTTACTCCTACTGAAAGGAGGGCCTAGTAAATATTATTTCAAGATAATCTCAAAGTAATAAATATTGTTGAATTCAGTTATTTTACTTTGAATTGCAAACTTCGATGGCAATGCAGTTTTTAGAAGCGCATTTGTGTTTCATAATTTATTCAATATGTACGTAATTATTAGAACAAATATATTATTCAAAAAAACAATTTCACTCATATTTCACTTAAATATAACCAAAACATTAAATAAATAATGGATTATTGGTAGAATAAAAAGAACTATATATATATATACATAATTAAAACAAGAAAAGAAACAACAAAAAAAAAATTTTTAAATTAAAAATAATTAAACAATTAAAGAAAAATTAAAAGAAATATTAAATTAGAAAACTTAACAATAATACTGAAAGAAAATGATAACATCATCTCACATGATTATATGTACAAAAATTGTGCTTTTTAATATAGTATTAATAAAGCCAAAGCGAATTATATAAATACAAAAGCATAAAAAAAGAAAAAAAAGTAACTATATCATTTCAATTTCAGAATGCAGACAGAGGTGGTATACGAGGAAAAGAGTACAAGTGGCGCAATGCAACAATACCATATGTAATAGCAGAGGATATTGATGGTAGGAATTAGTTTTTATTTAATGCTAAATTTTAATCATTAACTCTATTTTACCTTTGTTTTATACTAAAGCATTTCATTGCATAAAAAACAAAAATTAGCTTAGTTAAGCCTACCAATATAAACTAACGCAGTAAAAAACAATATTTTGTAACCTTATCGTCTTAGTATTCCCTAATTAGTTAATTTTCTCAGTCTTAGTATGCCTTAATTAGTTAATTTTCTCAGTATTTTCTTAGTATAAGTAACCCCTTAAAAGGCAATTTTTAAATACTTGTTAAAAGTTAAGTACAGTGCAAAAAATAAACAAACCACCTCGAGTAAATTGGGATCTAGTGATCGTATCTTCATGTTCTAGGACTCAATTTTTAAGACTGGAGAGGGTTACCTCAAATATAGCCATTGCAAGCCCTTATAAGCCATTACGAAAATAGCCATTACAAGCATTTACAAGTTATAGCCATTTAAGTTAAAGGAGAACCCCCATTCCACGTTCCTCAGCGAATTTTAATTTATCTGCAGTTAAATTCTATAAGTCAGCAAGGAAAAGGGCAATAATTGAGTTTTTATTTCAACCATTTATGCAAAAAATATTTTTATTTATTTAATAAATGATAGTAATGGTCACTAAGCCTTTAGACCATGGGCATTCCAATTTGACTAGAGAAAGAAGACAGTGCTGGACAAAAGCCCAAATATAAATCAGTCAAACCCAAGCTTGTCACACAAAGAGATCATATAGGAGAATCAACAATGTTTAAACGAAAAAGGTGGACACAAAGACAATCATGTCTTTTCAATGGTCTAAAAATTTCAACTGAACTATGTGAGTCAGTGACAAGGTAGGTGTTGTTCAGGGAAGAGAGCACTCCACTTGAAAGATGCAAAGCCATTTCACGGAGAAAGAACTTAATCCTTCTCTAGAAAAAGAAATTTCTATACAAATATTATAAAACTTTCAAAAAGCATAAACGTATCTCACCTAGTTACAAACGATAATATTTTTCATGCTATATTATTTAACATGGCATATTCTGGCTTAAGTTAACTCAAACCGAAAACCCGAAGTAAATTTTCACGGCTTAATTTTATGGCCATACTAGTTATTTGTTTAGACATTAAATTATTATTGGAGGACATTTTCAATTATTTATCCCCCCCCCCTTATTTTAGAAATAAATTTGATATGTTTGTATGATTGGGCTTCGAAACAAGTGACCTCAATTTTTAGTTCAAAATTTGTAAGCTTTTTAAATATGTTTATAACAATATTCAAGGTGAAAAACGAAATCACAATGACAGTCACTGTCATTTTAGTGCTAATATAAGAATAAGGAGAAAATCAACCACTGTTAGGTAAAATATAACACTGTTACATAAAAATGGTCAGTAAAACAGTAAAAGGGTAAAAGAGGTTCTTAATAATTAAACTTAGGTCAAGAATAATTAAAAAAGAGATCATTAATAATTGAAGTTACGGAGAACTAGGATAATTTAAAACAGAACTATACCCGCTTTACGATATTGCATCATTTACCAGATATTATTATAAAATAATGTTCATATTTTTGAAAATTACATACTGTTGACACTGATCCCTCAATCTATCAATAGTCTATTTTTATTCGAACAACACCTTGTTCAATACGTATCTTTACAAAAGTAAATTCTCACCTATAAACTTCGAAAGCTTTTCAAGTAACTAAAGCACTTCATTCTCTTTTACCGTTTCATGTCTCGTGGGAATACAAGTTGCAATAGTTTTCTGTTTACTGTAAAATTTATTGTTACAAAATGAAAAGTTAACGTCAATCAAAATTTTCACAACTTTCTGCCTCAAATATGTTTTGGAACTCTGTGTAGATGGCGATAAAAACTTAAATCTTTTTCTCTCCATTCAATGCAAACTTAATGTTGTGATCGTTTTGATAAAATATGGATACCACATATCAGTTTTAAATTAAATATAGTAGAACAAGGAATGTTCGTCAAGATATTTTATAAATAAAAACTAATATATCCTTAGACTAAGAACGTATTTATTATTATTTCCAGACTAACCATGCAGTTTTATCACAACTAAATGTTGACAAAGTAATGGAGTTGGAAGGATTACTAGTTAACAGGACCGGGCCCCACTTTGGGTGCAAATTTGTACCCGCTTTGGTATCTTAAATTTTAAAAGGCACAAAACAAGAAATAAACGGAAACAAATTTTCCTGCATTTGAGTGAAAGATTTATTTAATAGACAAAAGTATTAAAATGAAATTTGAAAAAAAATAAACTCAAATGGAATATTTAAAAGAAAGGAACAAAATAGAGTGAAATTAAGAGATAGGTGAAAAAACTGAACGCCTCATTCTGACGATGTCATCCACCAAACTGAGGAGTTCACGAGGCTGTTCAAACAGTTAAGGTTACAACCACAAAGTTAATTAAAGTTACGCTCGCTACATTGTTAAATTGCCATTCAAAAGAATTAATTGTCAATCTAAATTTTGTCTACTTTATGACGTAAACAAAGAGGCAAACTCAGAAAATAGCAGTGATAAAAAAAATCAAAAACAATGTTTTTTAAATTGTCCAAAAATGAGAAAATAATTTTATTTTTGCAAGATATGAATCGAAAAACGTAAGAGGCGTCACTTTTATAACGAACTTTTATAATGAACTTCTATCATCAAGTTTCAATCTACTTCCAACGGCAGTTACTAAATGTTTTGCTTTAACAAATTAACAAAAGATTTAACAAAAGTAAAATTATTTTTTACGTACTCATTTAAAAACTTATTCGTGTATGTTTAGCTCTCTTTTATTAAATTTTTATATCTTCGTTGTCATTGTACAATTACAGATAGAAAGAGAAAAGGCCTTAACGAGGCGTTTGCATATTTTCATAGAAAAACCTGTGTGAGATTTGTTCCGAGAACTAAACAAAAGGATTACATACGGATACATGACGGATTTGGGTACATATATCTAATATGTTTTTCTTATTATTTTTAAATTTTTATGCTTTCCGTTTCTTATAATTTGTTGAAAAAAATATTTTCAATTTTTTCTAAATGTTTAGTACTTTTTTAAGCGTTGTAAAGAAAAAAGTTTAGTAAAAGAAATTTTACCGTTAGAAATTTGCTTGCTTATATATATATATATATATATATATAGTAAAA